TGAATGCCTGAACCCCTGCCAAATAGCATAATTAATTATAATTCAGAAATGAATAATATACTCGTAACAGAATAGGTATATCTAAATAATTTAATGTTTGAACTGCACATTAAAAATATGTAATATTCAATTTCAATTCAAGTTTATTTGTACAGCGCTTTTCACGATACAAATCATTGCAAAGCAACTTTACAGCAAATTAAGTTTCTACAATATTTAGTGGTAGCTTATCAGAGGTGACTGTCAGTCAATGTACATATATGTAATATGTAAAATATGTAATGTCACAGACACATACGCAAACATAAAATTGATTTCTAGCATTTTTACACTTTCATTGTATGCTAAACATTTCAATGCTATACTTTTGTTTCCAGCAGATGGGAGAAATTCATACAGGTTCAAGAACAACATGAGGAACATGAGTAAATAGTGAAAGAACTTGCTTAACCAAAGAAAGACATTGACTGACCTTTTCCGCTGTATTTCCACCCAGAGCCTCTTTGGCAAATGCAAGCAAGTGCACATAAGGATCAGGCAACAGATCCCGGAATATCACGTCATATTTCAAGTTTTTACGGAAAACAGGTATGGCAAAGACAAGTGGCGAGCGCAGCTTCAGCGAGCGCTCGATGTCTTCCTGCACTCTCTTGGGTGCTGTGGCCGTCAGCGCTACACAGGGAACCCCCTGCAGACGGGAGCGCAGGTCCCCGAGCTTCAGATAGTCCGGCCTGAAGTCATGACCCCACTGAGAGACGCAGTGAGCCTCATCCACAGCCAGATACGCCAGCAGACCCCGCGCACACAGCGAGCTCAAGCAGGGCTGGAAGGACGGGGACGCCACCATCTCTGGAGTGATGTAGAGCAGCTTGAGCCGAGGACTCTCGCTCTCCAGATCCGCCAGGATCTGACGCCGCTCAGCTGAGAGAAGTTTGGAGTTGATGGAGCGTGCAGGAACATTCAGAGCTTTCAGGTGCTCCACTTGATCCTGCAGAAGTAAAAACAAAGAGTGTGTCATCATGAACAACACAACAGTCAAACAAATCTTTATTACTCGTCACAGGAAAATTGGTTATCATATAAATCTGTGTTGGTACTTGCTTTAAATAATGCCCATGTGGTTCTTATTTTCCATTGTTTTTCTTCATGCATTACATAGCATAAGCTGTTGCTTATCCTCATTCTGCTCTTAACACCATGATTATAATGCGATTATAATACTTTTATATATATACTTTTTGATTCAAAGGTTGCACAATAATTGAAACTACCATATAAGACATTTCTGTATTTATGCTGTATGACAAAGCTGCCTGTTTTATTATTCTTGTTATTAACAGAAATTGGAAGCACTGATAGATTAAATTAATTAGACCTAACCATGATGCATTTTGTGATTTGTGTCAAGAACTTTATATTCTTTAATAAAACTATAGTTATGATCTTTACGTCTTGATTTTATGTGTTACTTAGCTTTTTAATTTAGATTAGAGTTAGATGATTTTAGTGATCCAACATTTGACATATTTTTAAGGCATCCAATGGCTCCCTGGTTGATGTGCTAGCAAACTCATTTAGCAGTTAATAATATGCGTGTCATTATTTACTTGTAATGTTCTCCTATAGACTACTAGTTGAATTATTGTGCTTTGTTGTCATTTGGAAGCTCAATAGCCAGGATCCTCTTGCTCTGTCTTTATACTGAAAAGAGTGGGACAGTCATAAAGGTTTGGAATCACGTGAAGAGAAAGTGATTTCGGAATTTTCATTATTTGGATAATTATTCCTTTAATCAGCCAAACTGATGGTTATTAGCTAATGCCAATTATCTCTATACAGTTAAATATAACTAACTATAACTCTAACACTCTCTATTCTAACTCTATCTCATCTATTTGTTTTCTTTACAACAAACACTTGCACTCTAACACTTGCACTCTCTATCCTATTTCTATCCTAACTGCTTGTTTTCTTTTTATTTATTATAAAAAAAGACCCTCTAACACTAGTGTTCCCTATTCTTTTTTTTCCAATTCTATCTAATTGTTTTCTTAATGTAATGTAAATACTGTTTTATTAATATGTTTGGCCAATAAATCTATGTATCTCTGGTGAAACCATGATTAGATATCAACCAGTGACCTGCTAACAGGCTATTGCGTGCCTACAGCTTATCCATGATAGGAAGATGTCTGTATGGGATTCACCTGGATGAGCGCGATCAGAGGCGAGATGACCAGAGTGATGCCACTGGCCAGAAGAGCAGGCAGCTGATAGCACAGAGACTTCCCCGCTCCAGTGGGCATGAGGACAAACACATCCCTGTCACCTGTGAGCACACGAACACACACACACACACAGATATATATATATATATATATATATATATATATATATATATATATATATATACAGGAAATAGCACCACTGCACTGTGGCTGTCATTATCACTGACTCATTTAACCATCAACTGCACTAGCATTCAGCTAACTCCTGGCATTTATTCCATAACAGTCCAGTGTAAGTGTGTCTTCACCCTTTAGCACTGCTTTCACGGCATCTTCCTGCTGCTGAGATCGAAACTTGTCGAATCCGAAGTGTTTCTTTAACGCCCGGTGAACGGCACTCATAACTACATCCACAATCTCAACATTCACTCAACTTTCACTGAACTCCGCCGCGGCGCACGGAGAAATCACAGAACATTAACTGGAGTGTGAGAATCATTTTACTAAGCTGCAGTGTAGCAAGACATTTGTCCCTTTTTGCTTTCCGTACATCCAGTTGTGTTTTGGTGTATTTGCATGCTGCAGTGTTGCCAAATCCACATTATTTTTTTCCACGGAATTGGGCTACTTTGGGTCAATGTTTGATTAACTATTTGGTCGGGATTATTACACAGACCTGGCAACCCGAGGGGGAACAAGAATTTCAGAGAGGAACAGAATCGACTGCTACACCGGACTCTGTGACGCAAATATTCTGCGTTATTTTCCATTTCTTTTTAACAATCTTAAAATGTAGTTTATATTCACATTCATAAATGTTAATTCTCCCACCATAAACGGTATTTCAAGGGGTTTAACAACAAATGTCAATGGTATTTCGAAACGCTTTCTGTATCTGAAAACAAAAACATCTTTGTTTAGGCTATTTAATGTTCGGATCAGTGGTATTGTAGCCATATTGGAGAAATGTTTCATTCATAAATTATGGTTTTGGAAGATACCCCTTTGCAATATTTAGAAACTAATTACAACAATTTTCAGAAGCCTAGGACAGAATAAAAGAAAAACACCAGCTGTTTGATTTAATTGTAAAATATAATTTGTCAGATGTAGCCTATGCCTTTCTTTCTTTCTTTCTACACTTTATCATTACTTTAGTTTTAAACCGTTCAAAACTAAACAGCCTACTACACACTGGATGTATATTTTTTCCTTCACACTTTTATTTTTAAATTATTAACTTACACAAAATGTATAAATATATGAATCTATATATAAAATTATGAAGTTGTACGTGTGCAATTGTGGTGTAATATATTAAAAATTCAACTTTAAAATAAATGTAATTAAATGACCAAATTTGATATTATTATTGCACATTATTAATTTTGATTATTATAAATTCATCACTCTGAACATGTCACACTCATTTGCACTAGAATAAATTAATCTCACAATGCATGTAATTACATAATCTTTGCATAAAGCACACAAGCAACATTTGACAGAAAAAAAATCTGCATGAACACACAGGATTGAACTTACTTTTATTTATTATTCACATAAAGTGCATTTCATGTCATGATTTGAGTTTGTCAAATGAATATGAAAGTGCAGACAGAGCAGGCGAACACTGTATTATATTAAGGTGCAGACAGCAGCAGGTTCAGAAGTACCACAGAAGCAGTAGCTGAAAGAGATCCTATACACTACCTTGATGGAAATACTGGTTGTGAATGTTATGGATCACTGTCAATCACTACGAACTGACCAACTAATATGGCCCAGTGGTTTATCTAATACTAATGAGGTCTAGAACACTGGTTCTCAACTGGTTTTGCTTCAGGACTCACATTTTACATCAAGTGCCCCAACACATTTCTTTATTGCCAAAAAAATAGTCCTTAGCATCAAATACGCAAACATCTTAATCTTACTATAAACTGCTTAGGCTCAAAATGTCGCAAAAGTATAAACATACCAGCTAACATGAAATGTTCTCAGAACTTTGAACAAGGTTATGGAAGCGTTTTCTCGAAAGTTATGAACAAATGTTCTTCTAGTAACATTAATAGAATGTTCGTTTAAAGTCATCCGGACTTTAATAATGTTCTCAAAACATTAGCATGCAAAACATTATGTATAGATTATGTTTTTCTGAAACACTGGATGTTCATCTAATTGTTGCTACTTATAGTTTCAGATGGTTTCGAGAACATTTAAAAGTGACATTCTCATAATGTTTGCAAAATTATAAAATTGGAATGTTCCCTTAATGTTTTCTCTAACCTTCACATAACCGTATGTTTCGGAGAACATTTTCATAGCTTAATGAGAAGTTAGCAAAATGTTCTCAGAATATAGTTTTGTTAGCTTGAATGGTATTGGCTGAAGAAGAAAATTGTCTTCAAAGCTTGAGCGTTTTCTAATTGTCATTAGAATTTTGATTGTTTCTCACCCAGTGAAAAACAACATTACCCATGATTCTACAGAGAAATCTCCACAAAGCAAATTGTGCCAAAATAATTATTTAGCACCCACCCACTACCATGAAGCACTGAGATGGTTTGGTTCATGACAATCCTCGTTTTGTACTTCTAATTAGTGACCGTTGTTTTGTTTTGATCTCTCCGCTGGGCTTCCGCGTTCGTCACTTCTGAGCGGCGCATGCAAGGCTGACCTCCATACGTCATCCGCCCGGAACTGCTTCCAGTGTACAATTGTGAGCGCAAGCTACATTAAAGTGATTATTCCGTTTTGAATATGAATTTATGGGCTAATTTTCATTTTTGGGGGAACTAACCCTTTAAAGCACTTCACAAAATCCCTATGGGTAAAAATACTTAGCAAAATACTTGCATTTGCGACCCTGTGACCCTATCTGTACAAATGGTAACATTAAGGTCCAGTTGAGAACCACTGGTCTAGAGATTAAGCACTGGGCTCCGGTTGGATTCGGTTGGGTCTCAACCCCACAGGCAAATGCCGGGACACAGGCAGTGGCTCCTGTTCCTGGGGGATCTGATCACCAGGTCTTTCATGATCTCCACCGTTCCGAAGAGCGGGAAGAGCGTTTCGTCAAATGTCTCGTTGTAGGTGTAGATGTGGGAGCGGTTCTCCACGTCGTAGAAGGACAGCTGGCCCTGGTCGTAGTCTAGGTAGACGCCGACCTTTTGAGGAATCAAGGCGGCCGGCAGGGCGGTGAACGGCACGGTGAGGGCCTTTAGCTCCATGCCACGTTCCAGCCGCAGGGTCAGGTAGCCAGTGTTGGTGTTCAGGGACTTGAAGCCCTTCCGCAAGGCGGACTCTTTGGCCACACCGATGCGCCAGTCCATTTCTCCCACATCCACCTCCCAGTACTGGCGGCCAGAGGCGAAGCCTTCGGTTCCCACCGCACACCACCAACCGTCGAAGCGCTGGTGATAGTTGGGCACGTCTTTGCGCTCGAAACCACAGCGCATGCGCTTCTCGTCCTCGGAGACCAGCAGGTCAGGGTTGGCCGTGTCCAGGTCAAGGGTCACCTCCACTATGATGGAATGAATGGAGGGTTGTGACTAATGTGTAATCAGTTTTACGAACTATGAATCAATAGCTATGTTTCCATCCAAAGATGCAAATTTAACTTATGCGCAAAACAGAGAACAAAATCACTTCCTGGTAAACTGTGGCACTGAATATCACTAAGAAAACTAGGAGAAGCCACTAAATGTAATCATTTTCATATATGATATAAATTACTTGCACCTCAGAGCGATCAGACGAAACACAATAAATGCTGTCAATGCTTTCGGAGGTGGATGCTGCTGTTTGGGAACGCAGTCGTGTAAGACAATTATACAGAAATACTTTGACGACAGACTTTGCTCAGGCATTTCAGAATGACCATAACAACATAAAGATGCTGTGAACGAGATCGGTCCGCTGCTAGTCAAGTTATCCCGTCTCATAGCGCAAAGTCACATGACTTTTTCGATGCACATGGAGGAATTTATTTGGTAAATGTGTTTCCATTGTAGTTTATGCGCATTTTTTCTTATCGGATAAAAAGTTTATCCTACTCAAATGTGCGAATACTGTACGTTTTTAGAATTTATGCGCATCTTGGCGTTTCCGTTTTTATGCGATATTCCAAAATGCGCATAAAAATAGGTGGATGGAATGGAAACATAGCTAATGAAAATGGCTCTGTTTCAAAACCTAGAGAGCGGCCTATGTAGGCAGCATTTTGCAGCATTCAAGTCACAAAGATGGTAAGATACCATATTTAAACTAAATTCTAAATTCTAAACTAAACAAAAAACTAATTCTATGTATACTATATTTAGAATTTAGACTAAATTCTATCCGCTTCACAAATACTATGTAGATTTGTATGTGATGCTATACTTGTAATCCCATAATGCATTACGACAAGATAGTGGATTACTTGTTGGTATTAAATAGTATTTTGGTAGCTTTCAGTTAAATTAAAAGTAAATATTTCTACAATTTTAAATCATCAGTTTTACTCAGTATTTTTCAGTGACACGTAGAATTAGTAGAATATCACAGTGTCAGCAACTTTATTTACACTACCATTCAAAATGTTGGGTTGGTAATATTTTATTGTATTTATTTATTTTTTAAATGAACGCTTTTATTTAACAAGGATGCATTAAATTGATCACAAGTGTAAAGACATTTAAAATGTTAAAAAATATTTATATTTCAATTCATAAACAAATCCTGAAAAAATGTATCATGTTTTCCAAAAACATATTTTCAACACTGATAATAATAATACATTTCTTGAGCAACAAATCAGCATATTATTATGATTTCTGGAGGATCGTGTGACACTGAAGACTTTGCATCACAGGAATAAATTACATTTTAAAATGTATTCCCATAGGAAACACTCATTTTAAATTGTAATAATATTTCTTTAATAAATGAAAGTATTTTTTAAGTTAGTGAATATGTCATTAAATGTCAGTTCCAGTGGCTGTACCTGACAGACACGTCCCAGATCCTTGGCCAGGTTGACAATGAACTGCTGGCTCTCGTCCAGTGGTTCTCTCTTCTCATTTTTCACCTTCTTACGAAACTCCTGAATGAATAAATTCATTAAATGTTATATGAATCTTGGTAAACGCTAAAAAAATCAAAGCTATTTCAAGGCTAGTCTCAGTGATGGACTGCCTACAGGCCCTATTCATGAAACACAAAAGAACAAATTTATCAGATAAATCAATCTGTACATATTACTTTTGGGTTGACAGAAATCATCACATTGACGACACATTAAAACAAACTGTAATCAGTCTCTTTTTGTGTCATTCATGAAGTTTCTTGGCTGCACTACCCTGCTGAAAAAAAAACAATAGACACCATTACAAAATTGTAATGGTTTTATTGGTTATAATGGGACTTGTGCTGGTTTTAATGGAAACTGTAATGGACCCTGTGGGTTTCTACTGGTCGCCTTCTATTGGTGGCTTGTTAAAACCAATACATCCTAATGGAATATATCCCAAAACACACAACAGAAAACCATTTTTAATGGTTTTAATAGTTAAAAGTTGATGGTTTGTAATTTACTTGTAGTGGAAACCAATAGAGTTTTCTGTGATGGTTTCTATTGTTTTTCTCAGCAGGGTAAGCTGTAATGTGGACCAGAATTTCTTCTGAAAGTTCAAAAGCTTGTCTATGTGAAACTATTTCAGCATGTTCAGGGAGGTTTTTCATTAAGGTTACAGCAAACAAACAAGAACAGTGTTTCATTAAAATGCAACTCATGCGTGGTCTACTTCCTGTGTCTTTGTCTCCTGTTAATGAGCAGCAGAAGACTCACATCTATTGAAATCGGTCACAATGACCAGCTAAAAGAGCCTTTTATCTCTTTTTGTTTTTGACTAAGAGATAGACAAACTTTGTCATGCCTACTGAATGTTTTGAAACAACAGTTTCATTCTGTTTTTATATGTCACTGTATCTAAGAAGAACAGATTGACAACATATTTGTGCAAGGTACCTTAAACTTCTCCGTAACATTCTTGGCTGGTTCGACCAGAAACTGAAGACACTGCATCATGGTGGCTGCTGCTCACAGAAATCCTTCACCAGAGGAAATAACTACAGCAAAGACAGGAAATGACAACGGGTTTCTGTCAAAACTTAGAGGTCATTTAAAGGTTTTTCTTACTGAGTGATACACAAACCTAATTTAAACTTCAAAAACAATGTGTCAACCCAGCAGACTGCTTGATGAATGATTAAACACTAAGCAGATATATAAGACACCTTGCCCTTGACCTGAATAAAGCAAAGCTTCAGGAGTTCAATGTTTATACAACATTCAACCGCATGGCCTACACTCTTGTAAAAAAAAGAAGTGTGCTTAATTGTATTGAAAGTGTACTAAAAATCTTTAAAGTATATTTGGAGATCCTGGAGCACAAAGTAGCTTAAGTAGCACAGGTATATTTGTAGCAACAGCCAAAAATACATTGTATGGGTCAAAATTATTGATTTTTCTTTTATGCCAAAAATCATTAGGATATTAAGTAAAGATCATGTTCCATGAAATATTTCAATTCATAAACAAATCCTGAAAAAATGTATCATGTTTTCCAAAAACATATTTTCAACACTGATAATAATAATACATTTCTTGAGCAACAAATCAGCATATTATTATGATTTCTGGAGGATCGTGTGACACTGAAGACTTTGCATCACAGGAATAAATTACATTTTAAAATGTATTCCCATAGGAAACACTCATTTTAAATTGTAATAATATTTCACAATATTACTGTTTTTTTACAGCATTAAATAAACAAATAAACATCTTACCTCCTGCATCACTGATCCAGTCCCACACTAAATAATGAAAAGCAATAATTAGCTCAAGTTCATAGCGAGTCTAAATATTCAATCCACCCTATAATTGCAAAACTGTCCAGAATATCCATTCAGATTTTCAAAAGAGAAACATTAACACAGGACTCACCTACATGAGGAATATATGGGGTGGCACCTAAGTCAAAAACAAAAAATAGAAAAATGAAGGTGCTGTCAGCAAGATGTTTTAATACCAGGCATTATATATCGCTACTACCTGACAGATACGTGAACAAGGTTAGCCACAGCTGAAGTCGTTTACAGCACATCTGAAATCATTTTTCTTATATTCATGATATTCAAGAAACTGACGTGATGATCAGACCTATTTTTTGGCTCCTCTGTTTCCACATAAGCCACTTTTGCGGAATGTTCTCCTAAACGCACAAATAAATCAGTTTTATGTTACAATAAATGAATTTGCCCACTGAATTAAACTATGCAATGTTGTTTTCTTCACACCTTGTCTAGTTCTTTGCTGATTAGTGTCCAGAACACCAGCTCCATGGCCGACTGCAGGGTGGCCATCCGACCTTTCTTCCAGTGATTCTCAAGGTCATCCAAAGCCGCCACCACCTGCTCTCCAGGCCACACACTTTGCTACACAGGAAAGTGGGAATAAATGATGCAAATGTTGCCACTCAACATAACTGACATGCAACTATTAAAGGAAAAGTTCACGCAAAAAAGGAATATTCCAAAAATAATAGCATTTAGAATGTCCCAATTAAAAACATGGAAACCCAGCGAGTGTGTCAGATTCCAGATTTTTAAATAGTTGTATCTCAACAAAATATCGTCCTATCCTAACAAACCATACATCAATGGAAAGCTTATTTATTCAGCGTTCAGATGATGTAAAAATCTCAATTTCAAAAAATTGACGCTTAAGACTGGTTTTGTGCTCCAGGGTCACTTTTTCAAACTATATTTGGAGATAATATAATAATGAAATAAAAGGCCACTTTAAGTGCACTTAAAGATAGTATACTTTTATGACTGTTTCTAAACACTTAAGTACGCTTTTTTAAAATTTGCACTTTGTGATATGTGAATTTGTGAATTTCATTAAAGTATAGTTTAGTTTATCATACATGTTTGTCAGTACATTCAGCAATTCACTTTAACCATATTTCAAAGACGAGTAGTAATTATAAAATTACGTATGGAGATCTTACTTAGTCTTACTTAAGTGGGTCAAAAAGCACCCTAAAGCTTTTTTGTTTGTTTGCTTGTTTTTTTGAAATGGCATTTAATATAAATTTAACTATAATACATTTTTATTTAATTGCAATTAAGTGTCAGAAAACATTACATTCAGTTTGCACTTAAGTAGGCCTATTCTTTTAAAGTGAGTGATTTCCATAACAAGCAAACTTTTTAAAAGAATGCTAAAGTGTACTTCTTTTTCACAAGTGTTGCATGACAACAAAACCAGATTTGATCATTTTATGAAGATAATAAGTGATGCTTGTCCACCATCATACTGGAGTGCTGTGGGTGTTTACCAGAGCTGTTTTTTCCCACACATCTTATCATCTGTCAGAAAATCGAGTTATGAGCAAAAACGATAACAAAAAGTCTTTTGGACATTAAGATCACTAAAGAAAAAAACGTACTATCTGTGCAAAAGCTCATTTTGTGACTGAGGAGAGCACACGTGACTCAAAGCTGTGACGATCATCAGCGGGTAAATCGTGTGGTGGAGGATTATCCAAACAACAACGTTACCATCTAACTTATAGTAATAAAACATAGGCAAAGAGGAAGAATATAGTGCCGCTGCTCATTTGCAGTAATTATATTAGAAATGAAATGAGTCATTTCATATAGCTTAGATTCATATTTTGTTTGATACTTTTATATTATACGGTATTCGAGCTAATAGAACAAAATTCATATGAAATAATATGAAATTATTATAACAAAATACCAATTATAATTATCTGGTGTATCATTTCTGAGAACAGACAGGTAAGACCTTAAAACTATCTTACACAAAATCGTATAGGATCCTATAAAAGGGCTCGTATATACTGTACGTGCAATTTCAGCATTTGTAATGGAGTTCAAAAGGCTTATACATATCATCATGCATTTAAATATAATAAAAATCTGAGGTAAATGTAAATTTGACTGCATTGTAATTCTGACACGCGTCTAGAGCGGAATAAATACTGGAAGAGACGCATGACTTTGCTGCACTGCACAAGCGCTTTCATGTATATTGATGAGGCAATGCCCTTGAACGACATTCTCAAGTCAGTCCGAGTCCGACACAACATATTTCGCATGATCTTCACACTGCGAGTGTATGCATGTAAACAATGCCATGCTGTGTTTTCGTGACGTACATGAGAAAACAACATGCTGCACAAGGTTTGCAAAAAATAGACATAGAGAAAATAAATCAGCATGCATAGCATCATATGTCTGTATGCATTCATCACTGTACCTGTAAGAGTTGTGCTGTGCCGCAGGATGGATCCTTCCACAGAGAAAGTCGTTCAGCGAGTCAGAAGAGAATGAATGCTGCAGCGAATACTTGACCTTGTTTACATACAATGACTTCGCAGAGCCGAACGTCATTCGGGCTTTTCCGGAAAACAGATGCGGAATGAAAGCGGCTCCATGTTTATTGTGGCCCAAGGTAAGTGAGTCTTATCGTACTATACATGATTATGAATTTTCTTTTTTCTTTTCTTTTCTTTTCTTTTAACTTTATAAAAAGAAGAACATAGTTATATGGTTCTCTAAATCAAAAGTATAATAAATGTGAATAAAAATGTGAATTTGAGAATGTCACCAAAGTTTGTTTATTTATTTATCATGACATTTCTTTCTCCCAAATGAAATTCACCATTTCAACCATAGTTTCTGCTAGTAAAATCATCATAAATGAAAATGTAATCCTCTTCAGACAGTATAAGAAGCATCAGTCGTTTTATTTTATTTGTTGGTGGTAAATAACGATTGCTTATACATTTTACTATTAGTTATGAATTACCCCTAAACCAAAGTTGGCACAGTTTTCATACAAATAAGCAAATAATACAAAACACATATAATATCAATGATTGTAATGACATATGTTAACCATGTGATGTTTTGTTTTTTTTGTAAAATAAATAAATAATATTAATACAATTGTTTTTCCATCTAGGAAACTGTATGTCCTTTTACTTTTCTTTCTTTAAATTGTGCTGCCAAATGTACTGACAAGCAAAAATCCACTTTAATGTAATTTCTATTGAAATATGTAATTTATTTAAATATATTTGTAATTACACATTCGCAGTGATAAAGTTGCAATTTAGTACATTTAACCCTCTATAGGAGTAATTATGAATTTACAGCATAAAAAAATATTGACTTTAAATTTTACATATATTTAGGAATAAAATCATTTTCCAAAATGTGTGTACCTCAGGTTGGGCCCTCAGGTCTTTGGTCCAGGTGAGAATGACTCTCCTGGCGCTCTCTATATCCTGCTCACTGCTCAGAGTCAGATCCTTCCAGTCACTTCTCTCTGGCCATCCATCAGTCAGCATTGGTCTGTTCTGTTAGAACAATATTTGGTGACACTCTAGTTCTGGTAAGCTAGTGAGATGCCTACATAAGCAGCCTTTTAAGGAGTCAAAAAAGTACGTCAATTTGCAGCAATTTGGTTTCAGCGGGTGCATAAAAAATAGAGTAAAGGTATAAATGAGCATCTTGCCTTGCTCTCGAGCAGCGATGCCCACTCCAGAATGAAGTCCCTGCAGGTGAGAGTGGGCCACACATCCTCACTCTTTGAGATGTTCTCCAACACCTCTGACCTCTACGGCCACCAGGAGAGAAGAAAACACACACGTACCATCAGAACCCAATAATTCAGTTCAGTTACTGAATTTGAATTTAGGTAGCAAATAGAACTTCATATCTTAAAAATCTAGCTTTTTTGTAACATATTACGTTTTAAACCATAAAGCACGTTGAGGTCAACATCTGATAGCAATAGTGTTTGAAATGCTACCTATTGAAATTGAATTCATAATATTTTTCATTTTTGCCATCTTTCTTTTTTTTTTAAACAGAGAACACTGAAAAAAGTTCAACAACTGTCATTTAGTTAATGTGAGTTTCCAGGTTTTTTTTAGTACATAACAAAAAATATGATATTGCAATAAACATTAAAGTCTTCTGAACCTTAAAGTCTTTATTTTATAGTAAGTAAACTAAATTAAACATCAACTAACAACTAGCTTTTACGGAGAAATTAAGTTTTTAAAAAACAAAACAAAAATATATATACAGTATATGTATAATATATATATATATATATATATATATATATTGTTTTTTTAGGGATCCGTCATTTATAACTGACGTTGTCCCATTAGGGTAAATTCTTTTTGTCAAATTGTCTGAAACTTCACACACGATCAAATGCTTTTTCACTATCTGAAAAGAAGTGAAAAAATCTTACTGTTTCAAAAAAAAAAACTAAAATAAAAAAAAACTTTATGAACATTACATTTTTTTCTTGTGCTGCTATATTTGATTTGGAACTTGCGCGTGAAAATGTCTAAAACTTGACACAAATTCGGATGCAATGCTAAGGGGGGGTGCTGCTAAGAAAAACAATTGTTTCTGAAAGTAATTTTCAGATGCAACGGGGAAAAAACGGGATAAACATGAAACTTGTAAATAAAATAATCTGATATATAGCCTAGCCTATATATTTCATAATATATTTAATACATAAAATAGACTACTCCGTAATTTTTGGTCATACAGTAAAGGCATAATTCGAAACTGCAAACTGCAAAGTGTTAGCAGTTTGAAAAATCAAGTATAATAGCAAAGTTAATAAGAATTCTTTCTAAATGCAGCACCGTTCTTATTTCGCTCTGCATAACCTGAACGAATAAAAATTTTTTTTTTGCAAAGAACTAACCGAAATGAAAACATTTCGCTTTTAATCTGTGTATTTAACAGCCTGGGAGACATTCCCAGGGCAGTACCTTGCCTAGCCGACTAAAATCAGGGCGCCCACTACGGAGACGGCACCAGAGGTGAGGGGGCACAGTGACCGAGGTGGCCGGGCCGGGCCCCCTCAGGCCCCCCCGTGGCGCCGACGCTGCTTCCACAACAACCTATTCTTCGTCACTGCCCTCACCCTCATTGCTTCTGTCCTCCTTGGTCCTCAACAACTTGTTTTATTACTACAACCTGATTTTCTGATGCATTCGAGTGCATTAACAATGACAAAAAAAACTTTAGAAAACACATTTGGATGCACAATTATATTTTTTATAACTTGAATTTAGGCTATATGTACTTTCTAGTCTAAAATGAGCTCACTATTAGGGATGTGCATCTCATGACTCAGGCCGATACGATACGCATCTCGATGCATAGGTCTGGAACTTTCGGAGGCGGGGCTTGGGCGCTGAGCATGCTGATTGGTTGAGTTCACGCAGCATTGTATTTCAACCACCATATATTCACATTACATTTTTTTTAAAGGGGTCATATGATGCGATTTTATTTTTTCCTTTCTCTTTGGAGTGTTACAAGCTCTTGGTGCATAAAGAAGATCTGTAAAGTTGCAAAGACTAAAGTCTCAAATCCAAAGAGATATTCTTTATAAAAGTTAAGAGTCAGCCACACCCCCCTAAAACGGCTCGTTCGAACACGCCCCCACATATCTACGTCACTATGTGGGAAGATTTGCATAACGCCGCCCAAATGTTCACGCAAAGAAAGAAGGCGTAACTTTTATTCTCGCTGTAGTTTTGTTGTTGCCGCTGCCGCCATGTCCTGAAGACGCTGTGTGCTTCGTTGTGAAAGCGAAGCTACTTTGTTTGGTCTTCCAAAAGAGGACGATATCCGCTTCGTCATGCCTAGAGCTGATCTGTGCTGGTCGCTGAGGGAATACATCAACTTAGTGCTGTGGATCGCCGGATTGGCTTTCACCGTTTTCACCGCTCCTTTGCCGGGACCGCCGTTCTCGACCCCGCCGCCTCAGCTCACTCTTGCCCGGCTTCAGCTCAGGCTAAGCCGGGGCTTTCGCACACGGTAGGCCGCTGTGTTTTTCGTTGTGAAAGCGAAACTACTTTGTTTGGTCTTCCAAAAGAGGACGATATCCGCTTCGTCATGCCTAGAGCTGATCTGTGCTGGTCGCTGAGGGAATACTTCAACTTAGTGCTGTGGATCGCCAGCACATTTTATGGAGGACTGTTTACTGATCCTGGGAGAGTTACGTTAGACTAAAATGCCGGCAGTTCTGACTCACGTAAGTACGTTTTCTTTTATCATTTGCCACTGATGATTCAAACGTGAGTTTTGGGCAGTGTGGATTAACGTTAGCACTTGTTGTTTGTCATTTCTCTGATCACAAATGCAGACAGGGTTTTATGTTTACGCGGCGCAATGCAACGCAACGCGTAAAAAGACAGTATAAGTTATTATAATCAGTAATTATGTCCCCACTGGATGCAACAAATGCCTCGTTTGTAATGGGTTTTAATGTTTTTGTGTCGTCGCTCCGGCTGGGACACGCCATCACAGTATGGTGAGGGGCGTAAGATTTCCGTCTCACGCTTGAGGTATTTGGCCAATCACAACGCACTGAATAGCTGGCCAATCACAGCATACCTCGCTTTTTCAGACCGATGAGTTTTGTAAAAATCGACGCGTTTCAAAAAGGCGGGGCATAGAGGAGAAACACTAATGTACAGTATGTGGAAAATAATGTGTTTTTTTAACTTTAAACCGCATAAACACATTTCATTACACCAAATACACAAAATAATGTTATTTTTAGCAGCATCATATGACCCCTTTAAATAATGACAAATGATTATTTAAACATAATTCGTTTAAAAAAAACACACGTGCAAAAACAACCCGATTTTGGGTAAATCTAGGACAGAACACATGTTGGGCTAACCTGACCCGATTTTATAGATGAAATAAAACACACACCTGTAGGCTATCTCACCAAAGAAATGCACCAATTCGACGACGATGTGAATCGCTCTTTCCGAGAGGCAGTTTTAACATTAAGTGACATGACATCTGACACACAGATGCCATTGGCACATGTCGCTATGCTTCTTCTTCTTCTTCCGTTTTTTGGCGTGTTACATCCTGTGTGCATATCGCCACCTACTTTTGCTGTTATGCAGTCATGGTTTATTTATTATCAATTTATTCCTTGTTTTTGCCTTTCCCGTTCTTACACACGATTCTGCCCAAGCCGTCAAACTGACGTCATCAGAAAAGGAATGCCATTCCAGAGCGGAAGTAAATGTTCAGATTTTGATTAAAGATTACGAAGACAAACTATTTTTTTCAGCGGATTAACTTGCACGGATTAATTATTTACATCAAGACTAGCAATGTGCGCTAGTAAAGTTAATAAAGTCAATTTTGATTTCATGCGGACTTTAATGTTAAAGGGTTCATATGATGCTGCTAAAAAGAACATTATTTTGTGTATTTGGTGTAATGAAATGTGTTTATGCGGTTTAAAGTAAAAAAAACACATTATTTTCCACATACTGTACATTATTGTTTCTCCTCTATGCCCCGCCTTTTTGAAACGCGTCGATTTTTACAAAGCTCATCGGTCTGAAAAAGCAAGGTGTGCTGTGATTGGCCAGCAACGGTCCTCCATAAAATGTGCTGCATACATCTAAATATTTGGGTCGAAGTGTTCTGGAACAGTGTTGTAAATACAACTTAACCACTGATTTCTAGTCGTGTCCTCTTTTGGAAGACCACTGAGGGAATACATCAACTTTCACCGTGGACGAAGCGGAATCCAGCCCGGGGTCCGTCACATGTGGTTGCCGCTCATTCGTCGGATCCGCCGGGCGCGCCGTTCTCGACCCCGCCACCTCAGCTCACTCTAGCCCGGCCGTTTTATGTAGGCGTGGCTGACTCTGAACTTTTATAAAGAATATCTCTTTGGATTTGAGACTTTAGTCTTTGCAACTTTACAGATCTTCTTTATGCACCAAGAGCTTGTAACACTCCAAAGAGAAAGGAAAAATTGAAATAGCATCATATGACCCCTTTAAAACTGCTGCTGCTCTTTCCTGAAGAGGATGAGTAATTTTACCGCTGGGTTGTTATGTCGAGGCGTGGGAAAGGGGTGCATTTGAGCAAGCAGCAACACAAAATCAGCTAATAGGCTCAACCCAGCATTTGCGTTGAACAAAATAATCCAGTTTTTTTTTTTTAGAACATGACTGAGAATGTAGGAAATTATTTAATTTGACATTATTACAAAGTGCACTTTTTGAAAGTGTACTTAAGTGAGTTAAGAAACATAGTCTCTCTTTACGTTCACTCAAGTGCCCTTTTATTTCAGTAATATTATGTATAATGTACAGTGTTTTAAATAAATATACTTTTAAAGGGATAGTTCACCTAAAAATTGAAATTCTGTCATTAATTGATCACTCTCATGTCGCTCCAAACCCGTAAGACCTTCGCTCTTCTTCAGAACACAAATTAAGATATTTTTTATTAATTCTGAGAGCTCTCGATCTGACCCTCCCATAGACAGCAAGGATCCTTACACGATCAAGGAACGACATGAGGGTGAGTATGACAGAATTTTCATTTTTCGGTGAACTATCCCTTTAAGATTTGAAGTACACTTCAAGCGCACAAGGGTTACTAGCAGTGAGTAACTTGCTTAAACTAATGAAAACTAATTTGTTTATTACTGAAATAAAGGACAAATTCACATCTGTTCTTGTGTTCAGTGTGCAAAAATGATGTCAGAATCAAGAAGGGTGAAGATGTTCAAAATCAAGCACTTTTCACTTCTATTCCAGACTCTCTTACATTGTTTGCCATGTGTTTTAACAGGAAGCCTTAGCAAGCGTGTTGTGTTCAAATCCCCATAAAGAGCCAATTCAGTGTGATTAACGTCACTCATGTGAAGGGCTGTTTTACGGGATCTAATGAAGATGAATCCGCTGACGCATTGAGTGTGTCTTCTTCTGACTGACATGTGTTATTCACTCTGTATTGTGTGTGTGGAGATTGAGGCTCCAGCTGTGCTGCTGCTGTGGACAGAAGACAAGCCTCTCTGTGGTGCCTCTCATTAGGACATCACTGAAGACAATAAAGACTCTATAGGAGCTGAAGAGTTACGCTTTAAACCGCTTCCAGGCGTTCGGAGCTCATTTGGTTGCAGGTAACTAAACAGGAATAATACAGGATCATCTGGTTTTAGTTAGGAGTGGTAAAGTTGCTACTTCCTGAAGTGACCACTAGAAGACACAATTTCACTAAAATTCTTCAGTATCCAGAAGAAAGCTGTTGGTCTATAGGCAATACAATGGTGGATGAATACTTTATCAGTTAAATACAATACAAACAATACAATAATGACGATGAGATTTTTTGTTGTAGTTGTTGTTGATGTTTCTTGCAATACAATAGGGAAAGTGTGCTTAATTGCTAAATATTAATAATGTTTAATATTGCTAAATATTTATAATGTTTAATATAATGGTCCATATAAAGATAGATAGATAGATAGATAGATTCTATTTGTACAATGTCCTTTAAATATTAGAGGACTTGTCTATTTAATACAGTTTAATACAATTAGTCAACAATATGCATACTACTGAAACATAAATGTTTATACAGTACACTATATATATTCGTGCTGTCAAACGATTAATTGCGATTAATCTCATCCAAAATAAAAGTTTTTGTTCACATGATGTATGTGTGTGTACTGTGTATATTTATTATGTATATATAAATACAAGCACATGCATGTATATACTGTATTAAAAAAAATATGGTATGTTTATATATTATATATATATATAAAATAAAAAATATAATAATATAAATATATAAATGTATATACATGTAAATATTTTCAAAATATATACAGTATGTGTGTGTATTTATATATATAC